GAGGCCGGTCCTCCCCCCCTGCCCGCCCGCCCGCCCGGCGGCTCCGAGGCCAGCTACAGAGCGTTCCCTGCGCATGTGCAGGGGACGCTCTGTCACTTTCGGGGGGATTTAAACATTCCCCCCCAAAAATTTTCAACTTTTTGGATTTTTGTGCACACGTGGGGACCGCCCCACGTGTGCACAAACCTCCCCCTCCCCCCCAAGTGCCCCCCAAGCGCACTCACGAGGGCAACTTGGCTATTAGATATATAGATGTATTAGTTTTCCCTTTTCCCATTACCCATGGTCATAGTGTTAGGGTAGTAGTATCCTTCCCCTATCCAATAGTGGTAGTGTGTAGTATGGAAAAACAATACAATTTTCAAAAAAGAAAAGAAAAGAAGAAGCAGCGTGGGTGGCTTCGTGAGTGACACAAGAGACAGCCAAGCAATCTTGTTCATGGTTTGCCTTCAAGGAAGAGGGTATATGGTTTCATGACTGATAAAATGGCTGGCCACTCACAATAGTGCAAATTAAGGTTCTGATGAAAATGAGAAGAAACTGAAACTGAGTTAGATATGGGGAAGGAAGATGATGTGTATGCAAAAAACCCAGCACACTAAACTCTGAAATTGTGTTATTTGCACACACTCTAAGAAATCAGGCATAGAGGGTTCCCTATATAACAGTCAGACATGTGATCAGTGTAGAGGCAAACAGACTAAAATGAACAGGAATGAAAGAAAATGGAGGGAAGAGGATCACGTGGATCCACAATTTAATTTTCAAATTGTTAGGGCAAAAGAATTGGCAAGAAATACTCAGAGTCCCCATTGAGTCCCAGCAGTAACAACCAGCACATGGGAAGGCGCTTTAAGTAAATTAATGACAAAGGTGGTATAGCAAGTCAGTCATCTCATAAGCACCCTCATGGATCACTGCCTTGTTGTGGCGAGGGGGCTTGAGCGGTTCGATGAAGCTGTGGGCTATGCCGTGAAGGGCCACCCAAGACGGACAGGCCACAGCAGAGAACTCAGACCAAGAGTGATCCCCCTGGAGAAGGAAATGGCAACCCACTCCAGTATCTTTGCCAAGAAAACCCCATGGACAGTAACAAAAGGCTAAAAGATATGACGCCGGAAGATGAGCCCCTCAGGTCGGAAGGTGTCCAACATGCTACTGAGGAAGAGCAGAGGGCAAGTACAAGTAACCCCAGAAAGAGTGAAGCGGCTGGGCCAAAGCCGAAAGGACGCTCAGTTGTGGATGTGTCTGATGGTGAAAGGAAAGTCCGATGCTGCAAAGAACAATACTGCATAGGAACCTGGAATGTAAGATCTATGAATCAAGGTAAGCTTGACGTGGTCAAAAATGAGATGGCAAGACTGAACATCGATATCCTAGGAATCAGTGAACTAAAGTGGACAGGAATGGGCGAATTTAACTCAGAAGACCATTATATCTACTACTGTGGCCAGGAATCTCGTAGAAAAAATGGTGTGGCCTTTATAGTCAACAAGAGAGTGCAGGGGGCAGTACTGGGATACAATCTCAAAAATGACAGAATGATTTCGGTCCGATTCCAAGGCAAACCATTCAACATCACAGTAATCCAAGTCTATGCCCCAACCACTGATGCAGAAGAGGCTGAAGTGGACCGGTTCTATGAAGACCTACAACACCTTATAGAACTAACACCAAAAAATGATGTCCTCATCATCATAGGGGACTGGAATGCTAAAGTAGGAAGTCAAAAGGTAACCGGAATAACAGACAAGTTTGGCCTTGGAAAGCAAAATGAAGCAGGGCAAAGGTTAACAGAGTTTTGTCAAGAGAACACACTGGTCATAGCGAACACCCTTTTCCAACAACCTAAGAGGCGACTCTACACATGGACATCACCAGATGGGCAACACCGAAATCAGATTGACTATATAATTTGCAGTCAAAGATGGAGAAGCTCTATCCAGTCAGTAAAAACAAGACCTGGAGCTGACTGTGGTTCAGATCATGAGCTACTCATTGCAAAATTCAGACTTAAACTGAAGAAAATTGGGAAAACCACGAGGCCATTCAGGTTTGACCTAGATCGCATCCCTGATGAATATACAGTAGAGGTGAAGAATAGATTCAAGGGTCTGGATTTGATAGATAGAGTGCCTGAAGAACTATGGACGGAGGTTCGTGACATTGTACAGGAGGCAGCAATCACCACCATCCCAAAGAAAAAGAAATGCAAGAAAGCAAAGTGGCTTTCTGATGAGGCTTTACAAATAGCAGAGGAAAGAAGGAAAGCGAAAGGCAAAGGCGAAAAGGAAAGATTTACCCAACTGAATGCAGATTTCCAGAGAACAGCAAGGAGAGATAAGGAGGCCTTCCTGAATGAACAGTGCAAAGTAATAGAAGAAAACAATAGAATGGGAAGGACTAGAGATCTCTTCAAGAAAATTGGAGAAATCAAGGGAGCGTTCCATGCAAAGCTGGCCATGATAAAGGACAAAAACGGTAGGGACCTAACAGAAGCAGAAGAGATTAGGAAAAGATGGCAAGAATACACAGAAGAACTATACAAGAAAGACCTCGATGTCCTTGACAACCACGACGGTATAATCACTGACCTCGAGCCAGACATCCTGGAATGTGAAGTTAAATGGGCCTTAGAAAGCATTACTAACAACAAAGCTAGTGGAGGTGATGGTATCCACACTATAACTAAAAACCCAAGAAAGGAAGGTCCTTAACAGTTAGCACATAGTTAGTTATAAAAAAATTAAAGCTTGTGTTTAAGTCAATGAGTTAAGGAGATTAGTGAGTCCATTTTAGTAAATGTCTATTTTCTTCTCAGTGTGCATAAAGACTTCATCCAGTTCGTCTATAGTCTTTTAAGTCATAAGTGTTACTTGGCAACTCTCAGTCGCAGATCATATGCTTCTCTGGCCGTGCCTCCTTCTGCTCCCAATAGTTCTCCGTCCGTCTCATCTGGGCTGGCTACTTGGCCTCCGTCCTCTTGCTGCTCTTCCTCTTTTGCTCCAAAAAACTGCTTCAACCAATTTTCCGCTTTGGACACCGAGTCAATTTTCTCCCTTTTGTCTCTGTATTTAAACTGCACCCCCTCTGGAAAGAGCCAGGCATATTGAATCTGGTTGATTTGAAGCGTTGAAATAAGCTCTTTATATGCTTTCCTTTTCTGTCTGACCTCAAATGGAACGTCCTTTAGGACCCTGATGGTTGCTGATCCCAATTGTAGGGGTTTGCTTGCTGTCACTCTGAGAATATCATCTCTTGTCTGTCGTCGGAGAAATTTGATCACAATCTCACCCGGCAAGTTGTTTTGCTTGATATACTTAGAGTACGACCGATGAATGGCAGAAGTGAAGAGGACCTAAAGAGCCTCTTGCTCAGGGTAAAAGAGGAGAGCGCAAAAGTGGGCTTGAAGCTCAACATCAAAAAAACTAAGATCATGGCATCCGGCCCCATCACTCCTTGGCAAATAGAAGGGGAAGTCGTGGAAGTAGTGACAGACTTCACGTTCCTTGGATCCCAGATCACCGCAGACTGTGACAGCAGCCATGAAATTAAAAGACCCCTGCTCCTTGGGAGGAAAGCGATGGCGAACCTAAACAGCATGATAAAAAGCAGAGACATCACCCTGCCAACAAAAGTCCGCATGGTCAAAGCAATGGTATTCCCAGTAGTCATGTATGGCTGCGAGAGCTGGACTATAAGGAAGGCCGAGCACCAAAGAATAGATTCTTTTGAACTATGGTGCTGGAGAAGACTCTTGAGAGTCCCTTGGACTGCAAGAAGATCAAATCAGTCAATCCTCAAAGAAATCAACCCTGACTGTTCCCTGGAAGGCCAGATAATGAAACTGAAGCTCAAATACTTTGGCCACCAAATGAGAAGGGAGCACTCACTGGAGAAGACCCTGATGCTGGGAAAGATTGAAGGTCAAAGAAGACGGGGACGGCAAAGGATGAGATGGTTGGACAGTGTCATCGACGCAACGAACATGAAATTGAGCCAACTTCAGAGGACAGCGGAAGACAGGAGGGCCTGGCGGGAGCTGGTCCATGGGGTCGCGAAGAGTCGGACTCGACTGTGCGACTGAACAACAACAACAACATCTCATAAGAACAATAGAGGAGAGCTGTGAGCTAAAGAGATGGAAATGTGTGTGGGAGCAAATAAGGAATCTGTAGAAGGAATCTGTACAAAGACTGCTTCAAAAGTTACATTTTCTCTATGAGAAAACCCTTTGTTTAGTTAATCATATGCATACAGCAATATTTACAGTGTGAAAGGTTTTCTTTCCACAAGTACATGAGTCAAGGTTTTAAGTACTGTGGCTGCTCACTCTATATACTCATTACAGAGAAAACACACACGGCAGCTCTTCATACATTGTGATATATGATCTTTTTATGTGAACTGTATTTTGACATTGATTTTTTTTATATAAAAAAACCAGTGGTCTTAAGGTTGTCATAATTGTGTTCAGGGATGAGAGTGTAGACTTACCTAGCAAGAGGTTGGAAAGCATCATGGAGATGCTGAAGGGTGAGAAGACCAGATTGGAGTCACTCTTCTCATACTGAATTGCTGCCATATAGAAATCGATTGCAAATTCACTTAGCGCTTCAGCCAACTTTAATTCATCCTCCACTGTGGATTCATTACATGACGACCATGGACTGCTGAGTGGCTGGCATCGCTGGGGCAGGTGACTGTCAGTAGTTTCTGTGGTGGGGACTGTGGTGGGCTTTGCTGTCGCACCCCCAAGGGATGGCTCTGTGGCATTCAGACATTCCAGTAAGAGGTTTCCAAGGAGTCTTGCCTGTTGACATGCATTTGTGATGCTTTCACTTTCTTCTTCCCTACTTGATGTGTTAGATTCCGCTTTTAAGTCACCAGTTTCCTCATTCCCTGGAATTGCTTCTACTAGCCCTTCTTCTGGATTCCTCAAATTCTCTCTTCTGTTATTTTCATTGTCCTCTGAAGTCACCTGTCACCCAGAAATTAGTCATATATTGTACAGTTTATCACAGGTTAAGAATGTACTGCTATTAAACTGGTGTTTTTATCCATCAACAAAGAGACGGATATTATGCACCTTTCTCTAGTTTCTGTTTCCTGGCCCTGGAATTTCAAATTGCAAATCAGCTGTGTTCCTTTCCTTTCATCTAATAAAAGCTCTATGATGCATAGATCTTAAGCAGTGAATTGTTATTATAAATAATGTATTACCCAATAGACAAAAAGATTAAAAAGTGTTTGCAACTGCAAGGATTTTTAGAGGTCCTTATCAGCAAGCAGAGGTATAACCATCTCACAGGAATATGAATCAGAGCAGGCTGACCGACATGATGAAAAATAGTATCTTCTAAGGTTAATATACAACAAATACCCCAGGAGAACGTGTGCAATAGTATCAATATTGTTTAAAGAACAGGAGCAAATTCATTCTGAGTAAGGTAAGCACAAAATCCTACCGGCCAGGGCTCTTTTTGTAGAAAAAGCCCAGCAGGAACTCATTAGCATATTAGGACACACCCGTAACAGCACAGCTCATTAGCATATTAGACCACACCCCCATGTTACCAGAAGTGTGGTCATCTAGTCACAAGGAGGCCAAATCAAAATTTTGGGAGGCTCCATGCCACGTATCCTCCTACAAAGGATGCAGATCATTCGGCACTGGTGTTAATAACGCGGACACAAAAGTGATACTTCCTGGGCAGTTCTGAAACCGCTTCTGCTGCATGCAAGTGGGTGTCAGATAAGATGCCAGTGGGCACCACACTGGGGGATCACAGTGATAGACTGTAGAGGCGATAAACAAATCTGGTTGTTTTTAATGTACTAGTTGGCTGTATCTCTGTGGGTTTATTTGCATATTTCAGAAATACTCAAGGCATTATTTGCTGGCAATAAAGAAAGATGTGATATCAAGACAAACTGGATCTCCTAGAAGAACAAAGAGTTGCAGCTTTGTTCTACATATGCAAACAACATTTTCTCCAATTCTGATTCCAAATGCCAAAATTCGAACCACCACTTCGGTGGGAAGGTAACAGCGCCTTGGTGTTTAGTCCTGCCGGCCACATGACCACGGAAACGTCTTCGGACAGCGCTGGCTCTTCGGCTTTGAAACGGAGATGAGCACCGCAACCCTAGAGTCGGATTTGACTGGCTTTCAAGCAAGGGAACCTTTACCTTTACCTTTTTTGCCAGACCACCTCTTTTCTTCTCATCCTGCAGTACTTTAAATCTTATTCTTGGCTTCTTATTGTTCCATACAAATTTATTTATTTGTCTTTGCCAGTCGCTCAAAGTCTTTTCAGGCAAACTCAGGTGAGACTGAAGGTCCTAATTCACAGTAGCCACTGAACCAACCCAAGCTTTTTAGCTGCTTTTGTCCCTCTTCTCCGGTGGACTGCCAGTCTACTCTGTAGCTTTTATGTTCCCCCTAAGCTCCTGTTGAGTCTTGTGAGCAAAAATTCTACTTCGTGAGCAAGCCTACATTTTGTTCTGAGTGAGTCTATATTTGACTGCATACATTAGTTTGAGTCTTGCTGAGACTCAACAAGGACAAGCCACATAGCCTAAGATTCTTAGCTGGAAGCCCAGGAGAGACTGTTTGACTGCAAGTTTCCATGGCCCAGATCTTATGCACTGAAGCAGTATCTCTCAGCATCACATACACTCTACAAATGCCCATTGGGTTCAACACTTGTACCACTAAACACAGAAGAAAAGTCATTTGAATCAACGGCAATAAACAGGCCTTGTACATCCAAACCCTTGCACAGCAAATATTTCAAACTTAATAGAAACTATACAGATGAGTGATTATGTATCACTGGTGAAGCCTGGGTATCTGACAGTCTTAAAAAGTATACCACCAGAATTTCAAAACTCAAATCTGTCAAAGTCTGCTCCATTGAAAGGTCATTGTATGAAAGTATCAACATGATACTCGACCAGGAGAAGCTTGACCCACTCAGGCAACTGAGAAGCTATAAGGAACTCAGCTGTATTATAAGGATGGGGCAGGGGGGGGGGACAACACACCCACCGAGCATCTTGGGTTATACACCTCTCTTGACGCTGAGAATTCTGGGACATGTAGTCTGCACAGTTACAGCATAGGGATGGGGTTTATATTGAATAGCATCTTTTAACACTAACACACACGCACACGCACACATACATGTGTTTGTGTGTGTGAGAGAGAGAGTGAACACAGAAGCAGCTATTCTTATCATATTTTGGTGGCTGGAGCTCCCCCTTGGTGCACCAGAGGGGAGAGAGAGAAAGAGGCTGCAGAAACCTACACTGAGCCAGATCGGGCAGGGGACACAGCATCACAGGCAACTTTCCATCCCACTCCTCCTTTGATTTCCCTCCATCCTCAAATCTTCATTTTCTTGTTCTTGCCCCCATCTGGGCTTCAATACTCCTCCCCTCTTCACTGGATCACACAGCCAGCCACTGCCTTGTATCACTTTCGTTTTCTCTATGCTTTTTTTAAGTGCTTTTTTTTCCTAGCAAAGGGAGAAATCAAAAGCTTTCTTTTCAGTATTTCTCTCCCACCCCCCTCCCCGCACACACTGGCCTGAAATCTCCCTCCCCCTCAGGATCCAGAGAAACTCACTAGTAAATAGTAAGAAACCTGATTAGAAGATATATCTTGTTTTTAATTCACAGTTTTTTCTACTCCTCTCCCTTTCTCTCTCTCTGTCCATACACACACACATACACTCCACCTTTCTTTCTGCTTTGGTGTTCAAAATAAAGGGGAAGGGGGGGTGGCCACAGGAGGAGGGAACTCACCTTGTTCCCCAAGGATTTCCACATTTACAACACAAAAGCTCACCAGAAGAAGCAAAAGTTGTGCAGCCTGGAGAAAGTGGGGAGGGGGTTATAGAGGAGCAGAAAGGGAACCCACACAGCCAGCACCTCTGGAATAGCAAGCAGCCAGTCCTCCAGAGAGTCCTGGGGTGAGCTGGGTGTTTGAGCTGCTGAGGAAAGAAGCTACCCCCAAGGCCTTCACCCCAGAGACCCAGGAAAAGGGGGGGGGGTTGTAGAGGAGCAGAAAGGGAACCCCAGGCAGCAACTCCATCTCAAAGAGCCACACAGCAAGATCTCACAAAACAACAACGTGATGTGAAAGGGAATAAATTCTAACCAACTTTCCCACCCTTTCCATCAAAAAAGAGATGGGGGTGGAGGTGGGGGAGGAATTGTTGCACTGGAATGCAGGGAAGGGAAAGAAGGAAAAATAGTAGTCAAAAAGATTTGATGATGATGCCGATGATGCGCGATGATGCGCTTGGAGCTCTTTAGCTTGGAGAAAAGACGGCTAAGGGGTGACAAGCATGGGCAGCTTCAAGAGCGAATTGGATAAGCATACGGAGCAGAGGTCCATCGGTGGCTATTCGCCACAAGGTGTAGATAGGAATTCTCTGTCCGGGGCAGGTGATGCTTTGTATTCTTGGTGCTTGGGGGGGGGTCAACAGTGGGAGGGGCTTCTAGTGTCCTGGCCCCACTGCTGGACCTCCTGATGGCATCTGGTATTTTTGGCCTCTGTGTGACACGGAGTGTTGGACTGGATGGGCCTTTGGCCTGATCCAACATTGGCTTCTCTCTTATCTGGAAATTTGTATCACAGCCAAGGAGATCCAGCAATTTCCCCCCTACCCACCCCAGGGAATTCCCCCACATACCCCAGACCCACCAGCAGCTATGGTTGCCAATCCCCTGTTGGAGACGGGGGATCCCCTGGTTTGGAGTCCCTCCCTTCCACTTCAGGGCTATCAGAAAGTGGGGGGTGGGGTGGCTGCTCGGTGCTCCAGGGTCTGTCATTCCACTCTATGCTCTGTCATGCCAGTCCCAGAATACTTCTGCTTCTCCCAGGGACTGTCATTCCACTCTGGGGCCTGTCATTCCAGTCCCAGAACACATCTGCTACCCCCAGGAGCTTTCATTCCACTCTAGGCTCTGTCATTTCAGTCCCAGAACCCTTCTGCTACTCCCTGAGGCTGTCATTCCACTCTGGGGGCTGTCATTTCAGTCCCACAGTAGTCTATCGGGGCACAGGGGTCTTAATGGAAAATCCATTCCACATTTTCTTTGCAACTCTTCTTGTGTTGTAATGTATTTCAATGGAGCCCATGCAAGTCAATTAGCATTCCTGGCTCCCATTATTTCCAGTGGGCCTTCAAGCATCTCCCATTGTTTCCAATGGGCAATCCTGTCATTCCTTTTAGTACATCCCCTCCATTATACCCCATTATAGCTGATATCTCTGTTAACTTAGCATGTGTAATGAAGAAGCGGGTATCTTATCTCACTACACATGCTAAGTCACTCAGTTCTCAATTATATCCAGAAATTAAACCTCGTTGGTCTTAATGGTGCCACTGGACTCAAACTTAGTCCCCACATCTGTTGTTAACTCCTTTATTATCTGTAATGTATCCGCCATTACCACGTGCACGACCGTTGGGCCATGAGGTCTAGCACAAGCCCAGAGCTTACAAGCCCAGAGCTTCGTCCCTGCAGAACAATAGCGGAGCGGATCCTAGCCCGCACCAACCAGAGGGCCAGGTCCGCGGCCGAGAGCCAATGGGACTCTCGGCCACTGTAAATAACCTATAGGGTCACTAGGGGGTGTGTTTTGGTGGTGGGTTTCTGAGCATATATACCGGCCTGCGTGCCGGGGTTCCTTGTCTTGTTCCTCACTAATAAAGTACTCCTTGCTGAATCACTTCCCGTTTCCGAGTACTTTGCATTATCTGTACACCAACTTACTGCTATTTACATGTCTTAACGTGATGTGTTATTCCAATCTTAGCTGTATTTATTGCTCAGTTACTTTAGGCATCTTGACTGCATTAGCTCTTCCTGGCAACTAACCCCCCCCACCTATATGTAATATTGTCAGGACCCACAGTAGGGATCCCAAGTCCCCCCAGGGGGCAGGGAAACCCCCACCCCAGA